CAATAGTCCCAAACCCAACCCCAAACCCAAACCCAACCCCAAACCCAAACCCTGAAGCTAAAATCAATAACTAAAACTTGTAATTCTATAAAGATTTACTAAAATTAAACTTTTTTTTATTTTAAATATACAATTGTTTTAAAATTGGTTGCAAAAATGATGAAAAATGAAAAATTTATATCTTTTTATGATTCTCAAATTGTTTTATACTCCAAAAATCTCAACAATTAGCCAAGTTTATCAGACCCTTTAAATGATTATTTTAATTTCCTTAAAAGGCCTGTTAGTTAGATTATTATTATTTCTTTTCTTTAGGTTAGTTTTGGATTTCCTATTATAGTTTAGTAGGATGATTTTTGCATGATTTACTTCTTACTAGTGAATTTTAGGCTTATGGTTACTTCAAATTAACAGTTCTGGGCGATGATGATTGTAATTTTTAGCCATAGGAAGCTTCTAGTTTAATTTAAGTTAAACTTTGATATTGCCTAAAATATATGCATAATTAATACTGAGCTTTGTCTAAGACATCATAAGGTGAAGGAATTTTATAATACTTTTATGATTATATTTGGCTGACCTTTTAATCAACAATGTGCATTGAAGAAAATATTTGAGATACAACATTGCTAATAAAACTAGAATCCATTTTTTCAAGCTCTTAATGTGTGCTTTAAATGTTTTCAGATAAGCTACGCTAGCTATACATTTGCAGGTATATCGAATTTTAAATATTAGGAGGCAAATGAGAGACAAGCTCTTTCACTTTCTATTTTTCTTGCTTTATAAAATATGCATAGTCTTAGTCTTTGTAAGTTTCTTAAATGTCAAGATGAATTGTATTTGAAAGATTTAATTAATTAATCACTTTATTTCTACACAAAACAACCATTTCATTATCAGGATCATCTTTGAAGAATTCATTTACAGTTTGTAATGAATAGATGAGGTTTATCAAATTTTAATAGTCCTCAAAAATATAATACTATATTAAAGCTTAATCTTATAGTTATTATTATTTGTAACATTATTTGGATTACAACAAGATTGCTTAATTTACAGAATTCTTTTATTTTTCATGAATCTAGGTCTATTTTTAGGTTGTGTATTTATAGCCTTAAATTTTTGAGATTTACTATTATTCTTTTTTTCGACTATTCATGAATTTTTAAATAATATTATAAGATGCATAAAATTTATAATATGTTAGAAAAATAAATAGAATAAAAAATTTATTCTATTATGGCATTCTTTATGCATAAATTAATTATTAACATTTAATATGTTCGTTTAATTCAAAGTTTATATGCGCTTTAAATTGTCGATTCTTTAAGAATTAATAAATTTCATCTCGAAGAATAAATAATCAATATTGATCTAAGGTGAGTACTATTAAAATAAATTAGCTGGTATGATAATTTATTATATTCTTTCTAAAATTTTTATTTAATTTTCAACTTTAGCTTCACTGTTAATATATTATTTCTTAAAAAAAATTTGTATATTTATTATTTAATTATGTAGATTAATTATCTTATAAATTTATAAGAGTACTTATCATATTTAATTGTAAATTAAGAATGGCTCAATCTTAAGTTGGCAGTATTCTTTTCAAACTTATTTTTGTCGGGATTCTATCATTTCATTGATTTTAATCCTTTCAATATTCAAAGTTTAAATTTTAATAATAAGAATATGTTTCAAAAATAATTATAGAGAAACATTGAGAATTATAAAGATATATTTTTTTTCATTATTTCATAACTAATAAAAAGCCTCAATTTTAAATATTTCTAGCTTCGAATGAGCAGTATTTCCATTTCTATTATATAATTCTATTTATTGCACATATTAATCTATAAATTTTATAGTAATCACACTTTGTGTTAATGACTAATATATTAGTGTTTTTATATCATTGTAAATGATATAAACTTCCATATTGTAGTATCTTGTTAATTATAAATCCCAAATTCTAAGCCTTATAGTATTCAATTCGTAAGGATGAAAAAGATCAATAATAATCGAGCTTATATTAATTGCATGCAAAAAAA